AACTGAAGTCATTCTTGCTTGCTAAGAACTTACTAGTCATATATACATATACAAATCATCATTGGATTATTTATTTGTTATCATTTCACTTGTGCGTTCAGCGTTATAAAAACAAACACTCCCCAACGAGTACAGCTCCCGGTGGACTTGTGGAATGTCAGAACGCGCGTCGCGGTATCAGATTGATAAACAAAGTGATCATAACCATTATTTAATTATGGTTAAAGCCATCAAATGATTCCATGCTAGAACCATCCTATGTTGCAGTTATTTCTATACACCTTTATATTACAGCTATCGAATTTATAGCCTCTCCATGTAACAGCAATCCAATGACCCAAACTTTGAGCGTAACCCCTGGAGTATCGAGGATGACCCACCCCCTGTTACACCACCGGAGTTACAGCCACTCCACAAAACAGCATTCCCTGTTACTAAAATCCGTATTACAGTAATTCGTGTTACTGTAACCCTAGTTACAATGGAAAACTTTTCCATACAAATCGTTTCTTAATAGTTCAAAGAAGCTTTCAAATAGTCATCTTTTCACCAATATTACTTTTTATAACACCTAAACAACCGTGTTGTTTACATACATCATAACCATTACACAGTGTGTTATATATCCATAACAGCAGTATTGATTATATCACCATAACAACAGTATTGTTCATATCATCATAACAACAGTATTGTTTATAACTTAAACGAATTGTTTAATACATAACTTTCCTGTTGAAAGCATGAAATGCGTAATTCAATTTTCTCATAAATTTTGAAAATGTAAATAGGAAACAAAGCATCACATCAGCCACAAGCTCTCTATGGAGGGAGAAGAGAAGCAGTACCCTAAATGTTAAAAAAAAGCACATCAAACAAGGTTAAATGCCCCTGCCACTCGGTTGGAAATTATTTTAGCAGATACGGCAGACTTTCTGACTAGTAGTAATTTACCGTTCAACGAAATGAGAAGCCTTGATTAATCCTTCACCAGTGTTTCCACGTCCATAGCAAAAGTAATGAAGCATACCCTTACGTTGGGCAGGGGGGACAGTTTCTGGGTCATTTTAACTTTAATTACATTCTGACGGTTTCCGTATGGAAAATTTAACTAGGTCATTCAAGTCAAAGCTAACAGCGTGTATTGAAGATTTAACCTAATTCACAGAATTAATTCGCCAAAAATACCGTCAGAAAGCGTCTACATTAACTAAACCGCGTGTTACTAAAATAGCCTTCACTTGCTCTCAGAATTTCGACTACATACATGTACTTGGTTATCGACCCCGAGTTGTCTTGATCCCCTTCCATCCCTCCTACTCCGGATAGATTAAAAAAATAACCAGCAGATACTGGATCATCCGACTGGCTACCAATTTTACAGGATTTTGTAAAGAATCTGCATTATTTTGGCTTATCTCCCCCTAGTTTAAAAATGATATATCAGCTATCAAGAGGATCAAAATATCATGTAAGTCCTTTTTTTATTCTGGCGACATTGGATCAGAAAAAATAATTTTTACTTAACTAATTATTACATTTATTTATTTTTATTTATTTACACGTATGTCTTTCATTTTGTTCGAATTTCGTCTCTTTTGTAATTGAATTTTTGGTACTTTTGTTCCTAATCAGTTACTCTATGTATTAAAAGTGCATTAGTTTACCTTCACCATATTACAGGCGGAGACTTCTCTCGCGCACTCAAAGAAATACAGGTTCAACACAAATACAAAATTGCCCCAACAGAGATACGAAACAACCAGCGAATTGAACCGAATTAAGCACAAAAAAGGAAGGACATCAGGAATCTCCACAAAAATCGAGTTCGAAACCATGTGTTCCGGAACTTAAGGAATGTATCGGTACCACAAGTGGCACTTCCAAAGAGTCACCGGTTGTCATAGATACACGTGTAGTGAAGTATACTATTGTTAACAAAATAGCTGACACAGGAACTAGTCAGAAGTCAAATTATTATGACCGAATGATTTAAACATATGTTATTGCAATTTGCAATGGAATTAGGCACACGATATCCCAACTTATGCAACCTTTTCCCAGAAAGGCAACATCAACAATAATATTTACACAAGTCATCAATGAGAGCGAAAAAAAGAAGATAGAGTGTAAGAGAAGAGAGAAGAGAGAGAGAAACTATAGAACCTACCACTGTCTTTTATATAAACTTTTAGCGTAGAATGAAAACTTCCCGGTAGAAAACTCTGGATACTTATTTCATGTGCTTACTTCAGGGTATACCTATTTATTATGGCCTATATAATACACCATCAATTTACAGAAGACATTTCACAATGAATATCTGGTTTTCAGTTTTCTCAGCTTCCAATTAGGAACATTCCCCCCTCACCCTATATATATTTTTCTCTAACAAACTTTCTCCGTTGAAACTCACTCCTCCATGAGGTAGTAGGGGTTTATTGGTCAGAATTCCATATCGCCCTTGCTAAGCGTCAATATAGACGAATCACGAGCGTATAGAGATACAGGCCGAAACGAGATTCATAATTCAACACATATTGTACATTCATTTTCTCAATTATCTTGATTAGAAACATTTTAAGGCTGCATATTTTTTTCCGAGATTGTATATTTGCAGCAAGTACATTTAAGGTGTATGCATGTTCAGTGACTATGTTCATCTAGAATGTTCTTTTAACCCAGCCTTAATGTATACTTACATTCCTATTACAGTGGTAATGTAAGGTAATAATGTGCTATATTCTCTATTTCACCCATGGAGACCCATTTGAACTCTTCCATTTAATGGTTGGGATAGTTCATTATGAAATTTCAGGGGTGACTGAGTTAAATAGTTAGTGAAATAACCCTACGTTAAATTACGTCATTTTTTTTGCAATGATTTGCATCTGCTTTGTGACGTCATAATTTACTATCGATTGGGTTTCGATTACCATATGAGATCAGGAAGAGAGAATAAAATACTTTTTCTTCGCCCTTTTTTGAAGTATGCTATGGGAGAAATAGAACATCTAACTGGTGACAAATTAATCTGATCAAATAATTAAACTAGATATGTCTAATATCGATCTCAATCGATGTATATAAGTCCGGAATAATGTCGAGTTTATGATATCTATATATAGCCAAACCCATAATGTATGAAATAATATCGACAAATCTTAAAATAAATTCTGTCAAATTTTCGAGGTTATCCCCCATTTGTCAAGACAAACCAACTAATCTATATATAATCAGAGTACATTTACCTATATATTATGGAAGCATAGTAAAATAGGATATAACGACCGACTATAAACATAGCATCTTTCACACTTCACAAGGCTTTTCAGTATTATTTAAAAAGGACAACATCATGACGTCACAATTACATGTCATTACATGACAATAGTAACGTCACGTTACTACCAATCCTGTGTACATTGTGGCGTCACGACATGTAATTGTGACGTCACGTTACTACCAATCCTGTGTACATTGTGACGTCACGACATGTAATTGTGACGTCATGACGTTGTCCTTTTGAAATAAACCCGATCGTTATATCTTTTTTTCTATGCTTACCTTTAACCTTCTTTACATGGACATTTAATCTTTTTAATTATTTTATACGCTACATGTATATAGACTAGTCGTCGACATGAAATGGTATTCTCAGTAATGTTTTGTACTATACAATTATTATGTAGCGTTTTCCAAGTTACATAACACACCCACCTATGATTACAAGGAATTAAAATGCATGTACTACATGCATATACGGTAATAAAATATCCATGTACTAAATTTAATTGTCTAAACCGGAAGGCAGTTGATATTCAATAGAATTAAATTGCAAATAAAAATAAAGAAACAAAAATAATTATAGAATTCAATTCAGATTACTATCTTTTTTTGTAGGTCTTGTTTGGTGCTAAAGACCCATCCCCTTATTTATCGAGGCTTAATCTAAAAAGGCATGAAATTCGAAACCTGAAACTCAAGAATTTGATAGATGCCAGCAACCGATATTCCGAGGCAGAGGATGGCCAGAACGTGCTTCGTGCGTGGGGCGCCCACGGGGGAATTTAACCGCTTTTATACACACCGTAAATACCGGCAACGCTTTCACTTTATTGCAACCAAGACAGATTTTGATGAAAAATTGTTTTTCTAATACTATGCAATCGTGTAAGAAAATATTTTATGAAAATCAAAGTTAATCAGTCAATAAATGTATTCTATCAATTATAATGGAATGTTAATGTAATTAATTGATATCAAACAAATACTACACACAGCTTCAATGATATGGAGAGGAATCTTTGTATGTAGCTTATATCTCATATAATCTTTATAAATAGCACGCTACACTAAATAAATCCTCCGACAATCCTAAATTTCTTTCCTTGCTGCAAAACTTTTCATTTTATGCATTTTCTTAATTAATTTTGTTGAGCAATCACGAATGTCCATTATTTGGTACAATCATTTCATGACCTGCGTTCGACTGCTGTATACGTGGTATAATGGCAGGCACGAACGCGACATATACCTAATACACAAGACAGACTAGGTATATGCACATCGTCATACGTGTTTATCCTTCCGGTCGACTCCCCCTCATAGTACTTTCCCACTTTAGTCAAATGAATTGCACTTATTCGTTTGTACTGTTATTCTAAGACGCTAAACGCCGAGTGCGCTTGGAACTGTTCACCTGTATGAGTCAGCTCATTCACCCTAATGAGCTAGCTCATTCACCTGAAAGAGGTACTTCATTCACTCGAATGAGTTGGTTCATACACCCCGAAGGAGTCGCTTCATTCACCCATATGAGTTAGTAATTCACGAATGAGTTACTCTAATCACTCAAATGAGTTAGTTTAAACGAGTGTGTGAGTTCATTCTTTCAAATTTCAGTGCATATGATAAACGACCCGAATAAAAATCGCACGCCCATTTTAGTTTTAAAACTCTCCTATAACCAGAACATGCTATACAGCTGTTCAACTTACCGTCTAAATCTGGCATACATCCGTCGGCAGACATTTTGAATTTTTGCCGTTTTTTCTCGGGTTTAAATCTTTTAGTCCAGTTGTAGTAATACGGCCTCACCTACACCCACATTCACTCGCTCCCAAAGGCTTTCTGCGGATAATACGTCCTCCAGCGGCGAGTACGAAACTAACGCGAACTGGTCAACAGTTTATCAAAGTTTATTTCCGAGAACCCTAAGTGTTTATAATAACGCGGCAATGATTGTATCGAGAAGGCCTCCAAGGCAGACACAAGTGAACGCACCCTACAATCGCACGGCGGAATTCTTATCGCTTCTACTACGAAATTAACCGTGCAGGGTGATTCCACAACACTTGAAAATTTAGGGAAGTTAGGTTATGGCTATAAAATACGAAAGAGAAGGTCGACTGGCCCTTCAAAAAGTATCCGCTTGAAAATCATTTATTTTTAGCAAATCGCTAATATACACCTGTTTATATGAGTCTGAGAAAAACAGAAAATGTATGTGTATGTGTGTGTGTGTTTTTTCCCCCAAACTGGTATGGAATTACGTTTAACGGCAAATAATTCAGCAAGCCAGCCTAACTGTTCTTGGTTTTTTGTTTGTTAAAGTTATGGCATACTTTTGACTTGTTTTATTTGTTCGAGCATTAACCGACAAGGAAAAGCCTGGTACCAATTAGGACCGTACCTGAAGGATTACAGCTAACCGGATATACGGATTATAAAAATAAAACGATTAGCCGGTCGTTAAATACTACACAGACGTATAATTACGGCGCGTTACAGTGCTCTGTACATTACACGTAGAGTCCGACATAATTTTCGAGCGGGCAGTTTGATTATTCCGGAAAGAACTGATAATAAATATGACTTGGACTTTTGCGATATATAATAATCTTATTTAGAATTACATTAATTTTAAGACGTTGATAATAAATATTTTATTTGAAATGTCTGAAAGACGTCAAAAATAAACGGATTCAGACAAATTGACTTCAGATGTTATAAAATGAAGTATTCTTTTAATTCTACAATGCATACTAATTGTGGTCTGGTTTGTTTGTTTGGTTTGTATGTGTTTTACGTCCTATTAACAGCTATGCTCATTTAAGGACGTGCCAGGTTTTGGTGGTGGAGGAATTAAAGTCCGAGTTCCCGGAGAAAAACCAACTACCGACAAAGAGGCATTCGACTGCAATTTCATGTATATTTATATATCACTCTCAACGTTCCACACAAACGTTTGATTCAGTCATCCGGAACTTTTGTTTGCATATCTATGTAATAATCTAATATTTCGGGTGTTTACCACGGCCTTGGTCTCGAACAGGGTGGGGGAAAATACGAAGACAATAGGATCACTTCGCCTTTTTTGTCGCATGCTCGAAAAAGAAAGAAACAGCTTAGCATCAATCGGGAACCGTCGGCATTTTCCGTAAAAGACGGTTACACGATTGGGCTGAGCGCTGCCAGACTCATGTTTACTATTGTGCCAAGCATCACAAGAAATAATTTACGGGTTTTAATCTAATCACATTAATTGCCTGAAAGTTGAGCGGTGGATCAGACACAAATTATTTCATTTTACGGGAGTAATCTTACTTTCATTACACACGTATGACTTATGAAAATGATAAGGTTCCAGTTTCAAGAACCTTTCATATTTTTATTTTAACATGAGTGGGAGGAAAGGAGGGTGGGGGTGTCCATTTCCAGTTGTTCTGAATTGTTTCACCGTTATCTTTCGGGGTTAAATACTTTTTAGAAATTAATTATCGTGTATTGGAAAATAGTTTAAGAAATTTTAGATATATTTCAATCAAGTGTTGCAATGGGCGCAGCTGATGATCAATTCAGATCTCGTCAATGTCCCTTAAGCAGAAGACACAAGAGCACAGGGGACACTGACGAGATTTAGACGAGAAGACACTACACAAAACCTGCAGGTTCGGGAAAAAAATAAGCCTGCTGTATTCCACTGCGTGTCGTAAAAGGCGACTAATGTGCTACCCATATTTGCTTCCCAGCGCCTTCCCTGGAAATACCCCTCTTTTGACCTTAGTGTTGAACCTTTGCCCAGGTGAGGAAGGCAACGGGACTTACTTCCATGCCCGGACATACCAAAGTTCTTAAAAAATGGTAGTTGTTATTCCCTGCTTAACGTTTAGCAGTTTTGGTTATGGCAACAACCTGTTAACCCGTTATCAGTGTAATATGGCCGGGTAGAATACGCTGCTTGGTATCTTCGACATGTTATTTCAGTGAGGTAGCACTTTAAAGTCCGCAATAAATCCACGCTATCACAAGGAGGCAAATACACCAACATATCCTACCTCCAGCACACATACATACATGCACGCTTACACAACACACATGGAGACACGTCTCTACTTGACCACAGATGTAGATAGATAGGGCGTTCAACAACATAAAACCAAACAAAGAGACAAAAAAAAAGAGCGGAAAAAAACAACCGATTCTACAAGGCCCCCACATTAGTCGCCTCTAACGAGCAATGCAGTTGGATAAAGGCTTATTTTTTCATTGAACCCACACATGTTTGGTGTAGGTGAAAAGTGATTTGAATTGCTCCAAACCTCTTTTCATATACACGGACTGAATCCATATACTGGTTTTAAGTATTATTGTTTCCTCGCACTCTCGGGCTTGGCCGACAAATTTATTCTTTGCATCTAATTGGTATTGCTTGTATGTTTTGTATTATATCATCACAAATTGATAAACTGCATATAGGCTGACGGGTTCTTATACAAAAACGTTTATTATTTCCATAAAAAAATTTACCCGGCGTCTCGATATAAACGTAATTGCTATGGTTTTATTGATATTTACGTACGTAGCCATTTCTTACAGTATCTCGGTCTTGTTTTCACCTAAAGCAATACCAGAAGAATCTTCTATAACTTCCATACGAATCATTTCAGCATGAGATTGTTTGATAATTCACCGATGGTTTGTAAAGGTTGGGAGGTCCAACTTTCGGCACCGTCGTCGATTACTCCTGCGCACACAGTCACGAAAAGTGGTAGCTGCATATGGTAAGAAGAAATGACTGGCACTGGTATTTACAGTAACTTACGTGGACAATTACAGCAATACACAAATTGATGAATACAGCACCCGACATTTATATATTTATACGCCAGAAACTACTTCACCAGGGAAACAAGTTGTTGTATACCTACAGTAAATTTCATTTTTGATAATCATAATTGCGAAGTCATTCCTTTACCGAATCGAGGAAATTTCACCATAAAACGTAACACATTCAATAGTTAATTTCAAAATATATCGACATCGTCTTCTTTTCAAAATTGTTTCAACCAATTGATATCAATATTAACTATGTGTAACTAGTACATTGGAAACGTAATATTTGCACATGTTTAAACTATTGTCATCAGTGAACAAGAAAACGGGGACAAATTTTTAAAGGGAGAAACAACAATTTCTTTTATTTGTACCGAAAAGGTCGTCAAAATCGGTTCAGAAATAGCTTCACATTTCCTTTTTTAAAATTGAAATTCTATTTTTTCAAGTCCATTATCAAGTATCCCACATGCTGACATTACTACATTCGTATCGTATTACGGAATTTACCAAAACACGTACTGATAATTAAAAGTTTTAGCACTTTTAATATAGTTGGAATATCATTTGATAAATTAAACTAACTCGGGAAATTTGACACAACATATTTCAATCTAAATATTAATTTTATCTAAATTGAAAGACGTTTTATTCGAAAGTTGAAATATATTTAAACAATTCCAGAAGGTTAGTTTTTCATTCGTCATTAATGCGAAGTATATATATATTCACAAAAATCCCCTATTAAATGTTATTGAAAAATGTTTCCTTTCAAAATTATACATTAAACGAATAATGTGTTGCTACCTGCGTTGTATATATATGTATGCTTATAATGGAACGTTAATGGTAGAGGAGAGAGTAAATTTATCAATTTTGTGTTGTAGTGGAGAAACACCTCCGGCGCTACATCTTAGATGCACACCGTAGGCATTCCCGATCTTTATCAGTTTTAACGAAAGGGGAACAAGAGAGGGATTTATCCGAAGGCAGGCGTTTAAAAACAGACAGATTCTAGATCATTATGTGAAACGTTAAAGTAGCGATTAAAAGGTTAAAACAAAATACATTATTTCTTAATATTACATTTGGTCCGGATACAGTCCGGTATTACAATATGAACTAACTACAAAACTTATGTATTCGGCAAACTTCGGGAGAATCCGTTTAATTCCGTCATTGGAGCGGACGCCGCCGCAATTTCACGAATGGGATCCGATTCTATAAGTGTGGGCGACAAAATGCAAGCAGCATGTATATTCCGGAATCAGGTATTTTTAGGATATCTAAATTTATAATCAATGATGCTAATTATATTTTTCAATGTAAACACATGTTCCGTACTCTTTCCATAAACTGAAGGTTGATAGTGTGTTATATTATAAACACTTTCAACGATTCTAAATCTATCAAACCAGTTCCCGAATTAGACCTCGAATGTGGCTGTGTCGATAAAGGAATGCCTGTGTTGAGCACGCAGACATTTCAGACACGCTTCCGGATGCGATGTGATAAAATTAACACCTATTTACGACTGATTACTTTAGCAATTATTTTAGCATCCTAGAATGGATAGGGATATTCCCGAAGTATGTTTTAAAAGCTACACTAAAACTCGGCGCGCTCATTAAGCCTCTATCTAGCTCAAAGAGGGTTTACCAAAATGAGCATCTGGTCAAGGTCTTTATGTTCAATCAAAGAGTTTACCATATTTTTGAAAGCCTTGTTCTGACATTACGAGCGAAATATTTAGGAGTATTCCCGCAGATCAACGATGGTGGTTGAACGAGACTACGATAAAACGCTTACTGGAAAGTTGTTTTGAACCAGTTCCGTCAGGCAAGCGACCCGAAGCATGTAATTCTTGCCAATCGGACCACGTGTGCTGTCTCGATTGTTCAAGTCTACCCAGCTGTGCCAATGGGTGGCGCCAAAGCTGGGAAGTAAACATAACAGTTAAAAAGTTCGTGTGCTTGAGATACCTTTTACAGGCTTGTAGTTTGACATGGTACCCTCTTCATTGCGGCCATTTTGTCTCCTTACACCATGTCGACGAGTAATCACGCGATCATCCTTAACAACGACGACGGCGCCGACGCTGATGACAACAGCAGCAGCAGCAGCAGCAATAACTTTAATATACAATGAAAAAAAAAAAAAAGTTAGTGAATAAACATTCAAGTAAAAAATATTCTCTGTAATTTCATTAGAAAATG